CATTGCAGCAAATAAGACATTGACAATCATTATCACTTTTGAATTCTATTTGCCACAATCCAATAACAATATTGCCTGCCTTATTTCTTTGGGTGCCTAAACAATGTCTAAGTGTCCATCTGAAACGTTAAGTTACTGCAATGCTGGAAATTTAAGGATGGGAGGGTAATCTCCTTTAAATGGGCGAAATTCTTTTTAGGGGGGCATCATCAGTTTGCTCTCTGAAGGTATCACCTATTCTCCCACAAGGCTCACCTTCCTCCTTGTAGGACTCACATCCTTGATCATATAGTGGCCAGTGGAGAGTGGGAGATAGCAGAGAAACATCTTGATATGTGACTATAAGAAGATGCATGGCAAGAACGTAATTTTCCAGAACGTATCATGGGTGGTCTTGGAAGATGTCTTCACCATTGTGCATCACATAGTCAGATATCTTTAAGCCAAACCTTTTCTCCACTGGCCAATATGTCACATTGCCAGGGCTCTGCCTTATTAAGGTAGAGATTAACCAAACAAAAACCCAGTTTGTATAAACAGTTTAATTAAAACAGCACTTACTGACTGGCTGTTTCAATAGTCCAAAATATAAAACAAAGATAGCACTCAGCCACAAAAACTGATAGCAAAAGCTACACCGTAGTCAAAGGTCCAGTCCAGTGGTCAAATGTCGAGGGTTTCAATAAACAATTCCAGGGATCAAAAGTCTATACCGTAGTCCAAAGCCAATCCAGAGATTCAAAGTTCCGGGGTCCTAAGAGTTCAGGAGACAGATCAGGATACCAAAAATCCAGAGACCTGGGGGGAAACCAGCAGCTTCCACCACCAAAATATGACAAATATTTTTTCTCCCAAGGCAACTCCTTATATCCAGAAACACCCAGCTGCAGCCTATCTCTTGCATACCTCCACCCTTAATTGCTTTCACCCATGGACTCTTACTTACAGATTACTCAACCCTTTAGAACTAAGACTTAATTAACCCTTCCACCACCAACTGCTAGGCCTGCTACCACCAACCACCCTCAACTACAGAACATGACACATGACACAATACATGGGGGAATGTTGTTTGACTCAAGAAATCCATTTCAAACTCTGCCAGGACCCCACCCTCAAAAAACCCAACCTTTTCATTTATCCTTAAGCCACACAGATAAGTTCCAAAGTTCAGCAGACCTAGCCATTACTTGACCATATATCCCATAAAATATCCCACGGGCCATGGCAATATGAAGGCATGAAGAGGTTCTTCATAGACAAGTCCAAGTGGGAGATGTTTTTTGGTGGTACATAACATGGCCTGAATTGTACATAGAGCAGACTTGCTGAATGCAGAGTCAATATATACTTAAACCCATTGATTCAATAGAAAATAAGCTCTGGCTTGGACTACCAATAAGATTCATAAGTTTAACTTATCTCCAATAGTATGGAAACACTTGAAGTTTCATTTGTGTACCAGCTCCCACATTTCAGAATAAATGTTTCTTGTTGACCTCTTTAGAAGTAAAGCTGCCAGCAGCCAATTTATTCCAGACCAGTGGTTCCCAGGTTTTTGTTTTTTGGGTGTTTTGGACTTCAACTCCCAGAAGCCCCAACCAATTTGAACAACAATTAACAATTCTGAGAGCTGAAGGCCAAAACATCTGGAGAACTAACCTTTGGGGACCACTCATCCAAAAGTTAATGAAACTATTCAAGGCACTGGTCTGTAACTCCCAAAGAGATTCAATACCTTGAACTGGTCAAGTAATCTCTTTATTAATATCCCATTTCAACTCCCCCAAGTGAGAGTCAAAGTGGTTGCCTTAACTTCTTTTATACACATAATAAAAGTGAAAAATGTATACGTGTGTCTGTCGCGGAGGTGTCCACTTACACAGACACCTCCACAAACAGGCTATAGTTCCAAGTGCTGATAAGCTTTCAAAAGCACTCCTTCAACTAACATTGCAGGTTATAGCGAGCACCATGAACATGTCGCCCAAATGCTGCCAATGTCCTCCCCAAACACTAGCCACCCAAGGAATGCTTCCATTTGGGGATAATTTCATCCTAGATTTGATGTGCTTCCTCCATCACAGGCAGGTATCCCAGGGTTCCTTGTGTAGAATTTGCATGACCTCACCCACTGCCTCTCCCTTGACCCTTTCCTACCCTTTCCTATGGCACACAGCAAACACAGAGGAATTGATCAGCAACTGAACAGACTGGAGGGGTTTGGGGGACTGACTCAACAGGATGGAAGTTGTAGTTCACCCTGCATCAAGGCAGCACACCATGACTCCCTTTGATAATGGACCTGGACCACATCTGGCATGAAGAATTGACCTTGATTTATAGGAGTTGTAGTTCACCTACATCCAGAGAGCACTGGAAACCCAACCAATGATGGATCTGGATCAAACTTGGCATACAAAACCAACATGGTCAACTGTGATTACTGGCTGGGTTTGTGGATGATTGTCCTGCGAATCTGGGAGTTGTAGTTCACCCTTATCCAGAAAACACTGAACCCAGCCAATGACAAATCTGGACCAAACTTGGCACACAGAACCTACATGGTCAACTCTGATTACTGGCTGGGTTTGTGGGTGATTGCCCTTGGAATCTGGGAGTTGTAGTTCACCCTTTTCTAGATATCACTGAACCCAGCTGATATCATATCTCGACCACACTTGGAATACAGACCCAACATGGCCAACTTTGAATAATGGCAGGATTTGGGAAGAATTAACTCATTATTCTGGGAATTGTAGTTCACTCACATCCTTATGCATTTTGTCTTCTTGAGGAAAGGTTGTCTTCTTGAGGAAAGGCAAGCTTATTTTCTGTTGCTTCAGAAACTAAGGGCACATTTACACTGACCATGTACCTCAGGATGAAACCAGTAGTGTTTTCTTTGTGCAGATGATTACATGTAAAATCCCGGAACTGGTTTGATGGTGCTCATATGGATTGCAGAGGCTGGCCTCAAACTGGTTCCAGGGTCCACAGGATCCACGATTTCATTATTATAGAGGAATCAGATTTTCTTTTATCATCTACCCCCACCTCGGTGTGCATTTATGGATCATTGGAGCACCCATCCCTTAATTTTTTTCACCGTGCTATGTGGTTTACACTTAGGAATGCTTGATGCTTATTATGGACTCTATTTCTGAGTATCCCTTTACTTTGCTTCTCCTGGTTTAGAGCCCTTAAGACTCACTGTGGGACACATTTGTGGCATGTATCATGTAAACACTGCACTGTCAAGCTGCCTTCAGACCACATAAGTGGTCAGTTTAGATACATCTAGGGACACAAAGTAATTAATTCAAACTCCAAGAGAAGAGATTCCACTTAAACATTAGGATGAACTTCCTGCTGGTTTGAGGAGTGGACTATGTTACCTTGAAGTATGGTGGAGTCTCCATCTTGATTGGTTTTTTTAAATATAGACTGGATCTGTCAGGTGGGCTTGGATTGTATTTTCCTGTATGGCAAAATGGGGTGGAATGGATGTCCCATAAGGTCCTTTCCAGCTTTAGAAGTCTTTGATTCGAAAGCTCAGACAGACTGATATGAGAAGATCCATTCCATCAGGTAGCCTGGACATCAGTTGCATTGAGGGTTACAGATCATAACAGTATTTTGAACTCTTAGATGTGCTGTAGGGTTTTTTTTAAGGGTACAGTGTCCACCTGAGAGTGCAATGTGTGGGACAAACACAAAGACATAGGTCAATGAGACAAAGGCATCCCTCTTTTCCATTAGATACCAAAGACCTGCTCCATCCTAAGGGGAAATACAGGGATTTTCTTTATTTTTCCATAACAAATGTAGTGCCAAGCATGGAAGAAATGTGGGTGTGTCAGCAGCTGTTGCTGTGGGTGTGAGCATGAGATGGCTGTGAGTCTGTTTGCCTTAGAAAGAGGTAGCTGTGGGTGAGGTGTGGAGAGCACTTGTTTATGGCAAGGCCAATGTGTCAGCGTTGGGGCGTTGTGACATTAAGAGCGAGCATCTCTGGGAAAACACTCAAAGTCTGGCATGTGCTATTGCTGTTGTTGCCAAGACAGAAAGTGAGGGGTGTTTTGCTGTGTGCGTGTGCATGTTATGTTAGTGTCAGTGAAGGTCTGTGTCAGCAGGATGAGTTGTTGTCTGTGGCACTTATGAAGAAAACCAAGTGGGATTACTGGAGAGAGGTGCATCCCTGGAGAACCAAGCACTGAGAATACCAGGTGTGTGCAATGGTAGAGTCCATACGTGATGCACATGGGTACCTTGTGCATGAGCACACACATGTGCTGTCTTTGAGAAACCTAGGTTTTCCTCTACCATCTTGCTACCTGGATGCATTCATGGTAGGACCTTCACCACGCAGAGGAGATGTTCTGAGGCCAACTAAAGTTTTGTGAGTGGGACCTTTACTAACCAGAGGAGATGTTCTGAGACCAAGTCAAGTTTTGTGAGCGGGACCTTTACTAACCAGAGGAGATGTTCTGAGGCCAACTAAAGTTTTGTGAGTGGGACCTTTACTAACCAGAGGAGATGTTCTGAGACCCTCAGCTAGAATGTTGTGGAAGAAACCTGTTGGGAAGGTGGTTGTTAATAGGTTTATAATGAGGGATCTGGGTAGAGGAGAAGACAGCTTTGTGGGGTATGGGGTGGAAGTCTCCATGGGTCACACCAGGTATGAGATGAAACCGTAGAACATGGTTGCACCCCATGAGACATAATGATGATGCCCCAGGTGTGTTGAAAGCATTGTGTGTAACTAAATGGGTGTCATACTTGGGTGGAGGGAGTGGGCCATGTGTGTCTTGGGGAGGGGAGTTGGTTGATGCTATGCTGTGTTTTTTTCCCTGGCAATGTGTTGGTGATGCTTGTTTTCTTCTCTCCCTCCTGTCTTTCTCTCCCTCTTCTCTCTCCCTGTGTGTATGTGCCTCTCTCCCTCTCCCTCTGTCTCTCTTTGCTCTCTGCACCGTAATTCCCCCTCCTCCCTCCTTTCACAGACCCTCCTCCTCCACCACCATCACCTCCTCCTCCTCCTCCTCCTCCTTCTCCTCGTCTCAGCTTGGTGCCTGGTCCTGGCGTGGCTGCCGAACAGTCCCGGTTGATCCTTTCCGAACTAAATGCCTCTGTGACAGAATCTCTACCTTCGCCATCTTAGCCCAGCTCAGTGCTGAAATGGTAAGTGCTGCCAACAGAGCATCCGGACAAGCAATGGAACAAACCCTTGGCGTATGTCGAGGAGGTGGAGAGAGAGAGAAAGAGAAAGAGGGAGAGAAAGAGAAAGCTAAGGGAAATGGTCCAGCAGTTGACATTTTAGTGCGACAGGAGATAGATATATCCAGACTGGGTGTGTGTGGCAATGCATGTGTGTATACGTGTGTGTGTGCATGGCACAGATGATAGGTAGTCAACCATTGTGCACATATCTAACCATCTTGATATAGATGCTAATAAGCACCATAATCATCGAGGAATTTACATGTTGCGAAGCTGTGACCTAAATAATAAAGGAGAAAGAAATCAATCAGACCAAGAGCGTGACTGCACTGAAATATCACAGTGGGGTTTTGCAAAAATTGCTCAGATGCTCGTTGCTACATTCTGACCCCTTCCCCACTAGATGTCAAATATAGTTTGGCTAGGAAAGAAGGAGAAGTGGACAGCTCCCCTTGTTTTGATGGCATTTTGGGTTCAGGCCTCAGGCTGTGGATTTGAGTGGAAATGCTGGAGGTGAAGGGGAGGATGGAAAGAATGGGCCGGGCTCCTTAATTACTCCATCCCTCTCCAGGATCTTCCTGGGGCTTTAACTCTTTATCACCACCTGGCTATTGATCTCAATTCTCCTTTCTGAGTAGCCTTTGTAGGTCTTGGGTGCTGGAGTTTTGTCTCGAGTTATTTTGACCTGTCTCAAAAGGGGGCCAAAAGGCCATGATCTTTCCAGAAGGGGAAATCAACAAAACAAAAAGATAGGACAATGCTATCCTTTCTCAGTATAGAGCAGTGGTTCCCAACCTTTGGTCCTCCAGGTGTTTTGGACTTCAACTCCCAGAAATCCCAGCCAACTTACCAGCTGTTAGGAAGTCCAAAACACTTCCTAACAGTCCAAAACACTGGAGGACCAAAGGTTGGGAACCACTGATATAGAGAGATAGTGGTTGTTTGGGGGTCAATGGTCATGAATAGGCAAGTGGATAGTTTGGAATGTATGGGTTGTATGTGAGTTTTGTGAAATGGAAAAAGAAGATAGAAAAAGTGAGAAGGAAGGAAGGACGGAAGTAAGGACGGAAGGAAGGCCTTCAGAAGGAAAGTGGAAACCTGGCTCTTGGGTCAAGTCTTTGGAGATTCACTACAGTGCAATAATAGCTATGTAATTATGTGCAATGACTTTAGGAAGGGCCCCGGATTACGATTGTGGATGGTGTGATTTTTTTTAATAGCGATCATAATGTGTTTAATGTGCATTTAATTTTAATGTCAAATCCTTAACGTAATGTATTTTAACTGTTTGTTGTTCAACGGTATTGAATAGTTGCAATATGTGAAGCTGCCTCGAGTCCCCTTGGGGGTAGAGTAAGGCGGGATAGAGTAAATAAATAAACAAGGGAGGGAGAAAGGAAGGGGAAAAGGAAGGATACAAGAAAGAGCGGAAGACTGAGGACAGGAAGGAAATAGAGAAAGAATGAAGGAAGGCCAGCCTTCAGAAGGAAAGTGGAAACCTGGCTCTGGGGTCAAGTCTTTGGAGATTCATACAGCACAATAATAGCTATGGAATTATGTTCAATGACTTTTGGAAGGGCCCCGGATTATGATTGTGGATGTTGTGATTTTTTAATAACGATTGTAATGTGTTTAATGTGCATTTAATTTTAATTTCAAATCCTTAACAATGTATTTTAACTGTTTGTTGTTCAAAGGCATTGAATAGTTGCAATATGTAAAGCTGCCTTGAGTCCCCTTTGGGATAGAGTAAAGCGGGATACAAACAGAGTAAATAAACAGGGGAGGGAGAAAGGAAGGGGAAAGGAAGACAACAAGAAAGAGAGGAAGACTGAGGACAGGAAGGAAATAGAGAGAGAAGGAAGGAAGGAAGGAAGGAAGGAAGGAAGGAAGGAAGGAAGGAAGGAAGGAAGGCCAGCCTTCAGAAGGAAAGTGGAAACCTGGCTCTGGGGTCAAGTTTTTGGAAATTCACTACAGTGAAATAATTACTATGGAATTATGTGCAATGACTTTTGGAAGGGTCCTGGATTATGATTGTGGATGGTGTGATTTTTTAAATAGCAATTGTAACATGTTTAATGTGCATTTAATTTTAATTTCAAATCCTTATCTTCATGTATTTTAACTGTGTGTTGTTCAAAGGCATTGAATAGTTGCAATATGTAAAGCCACCTTGGAAGGAAGGAAGGAAGGAAGGAAGGAAGGATGGATGGATGGATGGAAGGAAGGAAGGAGGGGTGGAGAAGGGAAGGGAAGGAGGGAGGGAGGGAGGAGGGAAAGGAGGAAGGAAGGAAGGAAGGAAGGGAAGGAAGGGAAGGAAGGAAGGAGGAAGGAAGAAAGGAAGGAAGGAGGGGAAGGAAGGAAGGAAGGAAGGAAGGGGAAGGAGGGAATGAGAGAAAGGAAGGAAGGAGGGAAGGAGGGAATGAGAGAAAGGAAGAAAGGAAGGAATGAAGGAAGGAAGGAAGGAAGGAAGGAAGGAAGGAAGGAAGGAAGAAGGAGGAAAGAGAGGGGGAAGGAAGGAAGGAGGAAGGGAAGGGAAAGGAAGGAAGGAGGGAAGGAGGGAAGAGGAAAGGAAGAAGGAAGGAAGGAAGGAAGGAAGGAAAGAGGGAAGGGAGGAAGGAAAAAGGGAAAGAGGGAGGGAAGGAAGGAAGGAAAGAAAGAGGGAAGGGAGGAAGGAAAGAAGGAAAGAAAGAGGAAAGGAAGGAAGGAAGGAAGGAAGGAAGGAAGGAAGGAAGGAAAGAGGGAAGGAAGGAAGGAAGGAGGGATGGAATGAGAGAGGGGAAGGGAGGAAGGAAGGAGGGAAAGAGGGAAGGAGGGAATGAGAGAAGGAAGGAAGGAAGGAAGGAAGGAAGGAAGGAAGGAAGGAAGGAAGGAAGGAAGGAAGGAGAGAAAGGAAGGAAGGAAGGAAGGAAGGAAGGAAGGAAGGAAGGAAGGAAGGAAGGAGGGAGGGAAGAAAGGAGGGAATGAGAGAAAGGAAGGAAGGAGGGAAGGAGGGAAAAAAAAAAGGAAAGGAAGGAAGGAAGGAAGGAAGGAAGGAAGGAAGGAAGGAAGGAAGGGAAGGAAGGAGGAAGGAAAGAGAAAAGGAAGGAAGGACGAAAGGAAGAGAAGGGAAGGATGGAAGGAGAAAGAAGAAGGAGGGAAGGGAGGAAGAGAGAAGGAAGGAAGGAGGAGGGAGGGAATGAGAGAGGGGAAGGAAAGAAGGCAGGAAGGAAGGCAGGAAGGAAGGAAGGAAGGAAGGAGAAAGGGGAAGGAAAGAAGGGAGGGAGGGAGGGAGGGAGGAAACAAGCAAGCAAGCTAGCTAGGGGAGTATGGAGGTGGACTGACTTGATTTGCTTTGCTTTGTTTTAATCTCCTTCTCAAAGTGCTGTAGCCAGCTTTGTTGCTGCCTTAAGACCAGGGCTCTCCCCGAGCGCCACTCATTCCCCGCTTGGTGCCGGTCCTCAAGGGCTTTCCTCCTCGCTTGCAAGGCCCTTCCCGTAATGTGCTCCTTTCATCCCCCTCTCCAAAGAGTCTACTCCATCCCAAGAATGGGAGGGTAGGAGAGATCGTGGGGGCGGGAGGGGGGGAAAGGGGTTCCTGGGGAAAGCAGGTTTTTCCGAGAGGGTTTATTATTAGAAACACTAATGTATTTGGTCCACTAGTTGCCATGGAAACATCTGCACTGAAGTGGCTTTTAAAAATGCAGTGTTGTCTGTGACGCTGGCTGGATCCTGAGGCAGGGCCCAAGCCTCACCTTCCCCTCTTCCCTGAGATGTCAGCCCTATTGGGATGGGAAGATGGGCAAGGGATGCTGGCCTTTGGAGAAACAGCCCTTTGGAAAGGAATAAGAAAGGAGAGCAGAGGAAAGGCCTTCTTCTCCATGTCAGAAGGGTGGAAAAGCTCACATCACCTTCACCTGCATTGCTCCTTACGCTCATTCACCTCCCCTACTCAGGTCCAGTTTTCTGCATGAATGAATGGAGAGAGAGATGCATGGAAGGATATTGTTCGGACTCACAGCAAGTTATAATTTTATACAAATGAGCCTAGCAACGCTGCCCTTCAGCTTCAAGCGCTTTCCTCTGCTTTACTCTTCTTTGTGTTGAGATGGAACAATAAACTATAGTTTAATGATGAGCTCTGGTTCATTCTCACTACAACAGTCTAAAGGCCGTTCTTTTGTATGCATTGCTATCCACATTCCACATTTATGGCAGCATGATTCCACTATAGCTTTCACGATTGCATGCCATGGAGTATTGGGAATTGTACCATCAGCCGTCCACTTTTTCAGGGTGTATTTACTTACTTACTTACTTACTTAGCGATCCCTCATAGTCCAAGGATGATGGTCCTCCAAGGACGGTGTTGTGTTGGTGGGTCTGTCTTCCCAAGAGATTTGCAGGATTTTTCGGAGGCAGCACTGATGGAATCGTTCCAGGAGTTGAGTGTGACATCTGTAGACAGTCCACGTTTCGTAGGCATATAGCTGGGTTGGGAGGACAATAGCTTTATAAACAAGCACCTTGGTATCCCTACGGATGTCCCGACCCTCAAACACTCCGTGCTTCATTTGGAAAAATGCTGCACTCGCAGAGCTCAGGCGTGTTGTATTTCAGTGTCAATGTTGACTTTTGTGGAGAGGTGGTTCCCAAGGATGAACATTTTCTAACGTTATATGTGGGGTGCCTGCAAAAGTGGGGGGAAAACATGAATGAGAAATGTTGATAATTTTTAACCTGGACAACAGCTCTCTAGAGATCTCTAGATCCTTCAATATGGCTCTGTGCTGAAGGACCTTGGATTTGACCATAGAATTTGGTCCTGGAGAACTTAAAGATTCCTGGAGAGGCATTCTTTCTAGGAATGTGTCAGTTCTCCAGTCTGTCTCTGTTTGAAGTCGCATTGGAGGACCTAGCGATTCCTAGAGAAAACATTTTAATGAATTGTGAATTGTCACATTTGAAAAAGTTGAACCCACA